GTGTGTATATGAGATTATACGAGAGCAACTGTTTTTGTTTGCGTGACTGCTCTCTTTAGCACGTACATGTGTATTTGCGCGCATTTAAATTGCGTCATTCCGGAAAATCCTGGTCATTGTCTCTAAATAGGTGACGTAACACAGGACTATCAACCACACATTATTTTTTGCGGTGTTGAACAACTGCACACAATGGATTTTTATCTTTTACCTGACGCCAAGAGTGCTACCGAAACGTGGCAGACATGAATGAATCTGCAACATTCTGAACTCGCGACGCCAGCGCTCTCTCGCGGCTGAGGCGAGAAACTCGCGTGGAGCCAAATGGGCGAAATGTCATAAAAAAGCGTTGAAAGAGAGTAACAGCGATATTGATGCTGAAAATGCTGCTGAAGATAAAAATGATGAAAATGGAGATAATAACAGCATTGACGATAATTGTGACAATGCTAATGATTTTAAGAATATCAGTGGTGACAATGATTATGATGATTGGCAATGGTAATGAAGACAGTAATGGTAATAACAATAATGATAATGCTAATATCAACACTAATACTCATATCAATACAAATGATAATATTAGTAATAATGATAATGATAATGATATCTATAATAACAATAATAATAGCAATGATAATAATAACAATGATAATAATAATAATAACAATAATATTAATAAGAATAATGATTGATGATAATAACAGCAATGATAATAAAGACAATAATAATAATGATAATGGTAAATAATAATAATCATCATTATAACTATTATCACTATAGCTATTATCATTATTATCATCATATTATCATTATTATCATTATCATAAGTATTACCATTATCATATTTTTTATTATCATTGACATCATCATATATTATTATTATTTTTTACTATCATTATATCATTATCAATTTATTATATTATTATTATTATTATTATATTATTATCATATTTATTATTATTATTATTATTATTATTATTATCATTATTATATTACCATTATTATTATTATCATTATCAGTATCATTATCATCATTATCATTCTTATCATAATAATCATCACTGCCATTATCATTTTCATTAGCATTATTATCATTATCATCCTTTTTATTATTATCGTTATCATTCTTATCATTTTTATTACTATCACCATCATCATTATCATTGTTGTATCATTATCATTATTATCCTTATCATATCATTATTATCATTATTTTATCATTACTATTGATATCATCATCATCTTTACCATCATTATCATTAACAATACGCTTATTACTACTATTGTCATTGTCGTTACTATTATTATTATTGTTGTATTATTATCATCACAATTAACATTATCATTATTATTGTCATTTTAACAAAAAACAACAATAATAAAAGTAACAACACCAATAGCAATAAAAAGAATGATGACGATGATAATAATGATAGCAACCAAAACAATAATAATGATGACGTGATAACAATAACAACAAAACTAATACCACACGCATAGATATAAAACAATAGCAACAAACGTGCACAGACATATAAACAAAGACTTACAATTCAAAACAAATTCAGCTAAAAGACTACTTATTGATATAAAAAACAAATCCAAATTAAAACAGAGAGGATGTCCCCTCCCACCACGGTCAACTCACCTTGAGCCGCGACTGAACATCAGGTAAAGTATAACGACACAGATGAACAAGACAAAGGCTGTGATGATTGCGCGGGAAATCCATGTCACCACAACGCTGATGGCATCGCTCTTGCATCCACCTGTGGAGAGAGAAGCAGGTGGATAAAGGCTTAAGTGGATCATGCATTGATTTGGTATACGATTTGTTAAATTATATACCACTGTAATTCTGGACTGTTTGCGCGCGCATGTTCCGCGAGCGTTGGCCTGCATAACGGCCGCAACGGTCGAGACGCCGCTCCACCAGACTCGTTTTCGTAATCGTGTTTTCTCAGCATTTGTTCTTACCATGTGTACTTTTTATTGCTTTGAAGTAATAAATCCTTACTTTTTCTAAAATCTCACTTCAAAGATTTGCTAATAGGCTGTTTTAGTATTTTTCACGAATATCAAAATTTGTCAAATTGGTAGCGTGCTGCAGTTAAGTCATTCAGGGCATAAAATGAAGTGACTGAAACTACTGGACGTGACTCTTCCACGCACTCAGCCGTCAATCTTCCTGGTGCTGACAGGCCACAAATGCAGTGGTCAATCACTGCCTGACACAGGTTGGAGCCCAAATGAGGCTGGCGTGTAAAATTTACATTTTATTTATGTGCCAACTAAGTGTTAAAAGGCTTGTAGTGTTATATAACTGATTTATTGTTTATTAGTGCTTACTCCATTTAGTTGATGTCAAGCATAGTTCAATCATTATCGTTTATCACCTGGCACCCAAAGGGTTGGCCAAAACACACCAGGTAATTTAGAAAATTTACGATTTTACAAAAAAATAACACTGCGTTTCAAAGCAATTGTAAGACTGAAGTTTACATGGTATGAATATATTCACTGTCCTCGATGATAAAATCACCAGAATGTCATTTGAATATGTATACGCGTATGGCAGAACATTTATAGAAGTCCGGTTTAACGTACTGTCAATCTTTAAAATAACTTCCTTTAAACGGAAATAACTTCTAAAATCATAAATGAGCGCAATTTTCGACATTGTCAAATTTAAGCAGATGTTCTCCAAGAGCAGAACAAGGATATTTGCTGCATGGAGATGTTACAGACAAAAGAAATTCAAAAAAAAAAAAAAAAAAAAAAAAAAAAAAAAAAACGGTTACGCACATATTTTATGTTGTTTTTCATATTTCACAAATGGGTTTCTTTATGTACGAATTGAATCCTTTCCATCATAATAATTCGCCTGCTGACCGAGGTAACGCTTGTGAAATTGAAATCAGGCTTCGAAGATATTCCGTGAGCAATCCAATCCAGGGTCACAGTGACCTATGGTTCTACATGGGTATATATTTCTGCCAAAAAAAAAAAAAAAAAAAAAAAAAAAAAAAAAAAAAAAAAAAAAAATCAATAAACAAATTCTCGACGCAGCAAGCCCCTCCCTTACCTTGTGAGTCTGGACTGTAACCCATCAGGCACTTGCACAGGCCGTCCAAGCACACCAGGTGAAGCTCCTCAACGCACCTGTGCTCAGGGCAGGTGCTGTTGTAGACCCCAGGGTGTGTGCCAAGCTGCGTGGCTGAGGAAAAAACACAAGTATATATATTTTTGTTTGTCTTCTTTTTTTTTTACACTGTATACCCACGCGCGCGGGTACCAAACTCACAAAATCTCTCTCTCTCTCTCTCTCTCTCTCTCACACACACACAGATGTCGATAGTTATAGATATAGATAAATAAAGATAAACAGATAGACATATGTCTTCCACTACTTTCAAGATACATCATTAGACAATAGACAACGTTTTTCAACATTCAGCAATATTCCTTTCTTTTGTGAAGTACCTTGCATCCGTTAAAACCCCAAAATTCAGAAAATTACACTCCCGGAAACGATGTCTAGCCACAAAATGGCGGGCGACAGCTGCTTGTGTCATGGCGGCCGCAGACCCTCCCTGCTGTCCATTTGGAAACAAAGATATTTAGCTTACCGCGAATATCATGACTTGATTAAGTTGACATTTACTTTGATATAATAACCAATCGCTAGAAAATTATGGAATCAGAAACGTATTTTTTTTATCACCGAAATTATCGTCCTCGCCCTGATTGTTTTGATTTCAGCCGGTTTATCATCTTAAAATAAATCTTCAAAAATAAATGTGGTCTTCGAAAAGACATAATATAGTCTCCAAAGTTAATAAAAAAAATCGAAAAAGATATATATATATATATATTTGTTTTCAAAAATAAAAAGGTATATCTTAAAAACATGAATAAACAGATCATAAAAAATAGTAAATAAATCTTAAAAATGAATAGATTATTTATCAAAAGTAAATACACGAATCTTCAAAAAAATCAAATAAATAAAAAAGGTAAACCACCAAAGATGATAAGATCAAAGTTATTTTTCAAGCCGTTTCACAGGTAAAGCTTCATCCACCTCGCTCGCCATCTGAGAAAAGCTGTTTGTCCGTCTCGTAATCTTCTAGCTCTTTATTACTTGACGGACGAAATCCGCCACGTGGGCCGACCCGGCTTTTGGAGTGTGGGGGTGGGGTGGTGGGGTTGTCTGTGTGTTTGTGGGGGGGGGTGTCTGTCTGTCTGTGAGTGTGTGGGGGGAGGGGGTGTCTATCTGTGAGTGTGTGTGTGGGGGGAGGGTGTGTTTGTCTGTCTGTGAGTATGGGTGTTTTTGTTGTGTGTGTGTATGTTTGTGTGTCTGTATCTGTGTCTGTATCCGTGTACGTGTAAGCACGTCGGCAAATGGGTTATCCTTTCGTGTAAAAAAGTTCAGCCACATATCTTGCCTTCGAGAGCCCTTATTGCCCCCGGCGGCCGCCCCGGCGCGTCGCAATCGCCCTCGATCGCGCGATCATCCCCGCGTCTCGAGCGGTGATCGCGTGATCCTAGGCGATCGCCATCAAATCCCGTCTTAATTTACTTGCGGACTTTCCTTCACTCTCCTTCTGTTATTTTGGTCTTCCTATTTTATTGGGAATTAGGAAATACTGATAATGTGGTGATAATGATGCTCATAATTATGATAATGGAAATTTTCATGGATGAAATGGTTTTAATGAAGTATTTGGTGATAATAACAATGCTAATGATAGTAACAATGATGCTTGTAATTATTATGATGGCCATGGTGATGAAAATAAAGGTAATATAAGTATAGATGAAAACAATTATAATCATGATAATGTCAATCGAGATAACAACGATAAGGATAACGGGGATGGTGACCATGCACATGTAACGACAAAAAAGTTACTGCATCCATTTCTCTCTTTATCTTTCCCCTTCTCTCTCTCCAAACGCACAAACACACACATACACATATATATTTATATATGTGTATATACATACATATATATGTGCATATATATACATATATATAGTATATATATATATATATATATATATATATATATATATATATATATATATAATATATATATATATAATTAGATAATTGATTCGACCACCCTCGGTTGCAGCCACTTTCATTAGAATCTGCAACCCGAAATGAAAGCAGCCTCTCATTTCCTGATGTCATTTGCGGAAATAATGTTAGTGAGCGGAGAGCCCTCCTTGCCTCGAATGGCCGGCGAGCCTTTCCCTGATTTGTTTCTTATACCATACCTTTATCAGTCGTGAATTAGCTCA